AAGAAAAATTGTCCTTAAAATTCTGATTGTCTATCTATTTATAAAAAATATAGGGTCACGATTGAAAAGATATCCATCTAAGAATGAAGCTACACATCCTTTCGGTGATGAGACGATTTATCTTTTCAAATTAAACTTCTTAATCATAAAAATAATTAATCTAAAAATTAATTTCAACAAGTTGATGAAAGAAAAAAGTGAAATCTTTAAGCATCCTTCTCTCAAATCGGTGTAAATGTAATACCATAAAGAAGGTAGGTGGAGAGAACGATGCTTTAACTTATTCTTGTCTTGTCCCTTCTCTCATTGTATTGTAGACGTAGTATGCTTATTTCCAAAGTTGAAACTACCGCGAAAATGGAACGACAGATTAACGTGAATATTGTGGAAATTAAGTTGTCTTCAATGAGGACCTCGACTTCTAGCAATCTAATTCTACATATTTGCATCATTCATCAATGCTAATGTTGCATGCTTTTTTTTTTTTTAGAGTATTTCCGGTAATCTAATAGGTTTCTATGGACTAATCCAGAGTTTAAAGCAGATCTAATACTTTTACCTTCACTTACTCAACTTCTATGCGTCAACTGATTTAGCTCATTTGGTTCAATGTTGAAAGTTTGCAAAGTTTATTCCTTCCTTTTTCTTCTGTATCTGCTTCTAAGATTCTAATCTGATTTTCAATGTGAACACGTTAAACGTACCATCATTTTTGGAGATAAAGTCTAACTAACACCATCAGTATCAATCTTGCATCCCCCAAAGATCCAAAGAGAAATTCAACAGAAAGGTACAAGAGGAAGTTATTCTATTTTAAGCGTGTTCACACACACATTCCTAGTCGAATTTTAGGTGTTTTTTTTCGCTGTATCACTTTAGTTAAAATCAGAGTTAAAATCTTCACCAAAAAAAAAATAATAATCAGGGGAGTTAAAAAGATGGGCTTTACTTCTCTCATGTAGTATGAGGGAAGTTATCTTATGTTGTGAGATTAATGAAGTGGGGGCCATCAATTTAAAAAAGAAAAAAAAGTATATCTTTTTTATGTGAGTGTAACATGAGAGATGAATCTCATGTGACATAAGCGTATAATTTCCCTAAAAAGATATGAATGAAAACTAAAATTAAGTGTATGTCTCTTATGAATATAGTATCATTTATTATGCAAGAGAAACCTGGCAGCATTAAAAATATATAATGTATTTTCATATTGTAATATTATGTCTTAATTTATAACGACGTATCTTAAATTTTTTTAACCGTGTTCAATGTTTCTTGATAAATATTATATCTTAAATATGTTTTACACCTTTACGTTTATAATTTAGGGTTTAATAATAATAATAATAATAATAATAATAATAATAAACATAATAATAATTTAAATAAGTGTTGATAAACACGTACTGGCCTGGCCGGATCGACCCGGTAACAGATAAACCGGTTATATAATTGGTCCGGGTGAAGCAGCAGATCAGCCAAGCGTTGGAACCGGTACGAATCGATGCAACCTGATCGATTTTGTGAAAATCGATGGCCTGTTCGATTCAACCAATGACCCGATACAGTTCATTAAATAATAATCATATGTTATCAAAAAAAAAAAAATCATAAAGGATATCATTTTTTTAAATTCACAAATGATTTTTTTTCTCGAAATATTTGCGTGATTTGTTGCTTATTGAGTTACATAGGTTATGTACCTACAACGCTAATATTATCTTAGTTATGCACTATACAAGAAATTTTGATTTAATTCATAGTTAAAGATGTCATCTACTGAACATGAAGCACCAATATCACAAGCATTATATATTTGTTTAATCTTTTGTTAGATAATAATATGTGATTTATTATTTTTATTATTGAAATATTTTAAATTGCTATTATTTTTTTACAGGTATTTGAATAAGTTTATAATTTTTTAATATAAATTATAGACTTGCATATATTTACCGGATCACGTGGTCGAAGCAATGAGGTGTCAAATTTGAAATTTGACACTGGTGTCAAAAGATCCTACCTTTTATATATATGTGAAAAGTATTTCTACAGCCACTTTAGATAAGGTTGTCTACAGCTACCCCTTTTTCACTAAGTATGACCGGTCATACTTACTGATAACAATAAAGCTGTTCTTTTTTTCTCTTTCCTCAGACATTGTCGGCTGACGTGGCGGAGAGAAAAAATGCAATTTTAATGTACGACCGGTCGTACTTGTGAAAAAAAAGATAACTCTAGAGAAGCTTATCTAAGGTGGCTGCATAAATATTTTCCCATATATATATATATATATATATATATATATATATATATATGTTTCAAGATCGGGAAACACAGCCTACAAAGAGAAACAAAAACAGAGAGGGAGAGACTACTGAGGTGGAGATAGTAACGAAGCCGAAAACCATGGTGGCCTTGGGTGGGGAAGAGCACCAGAAGGTGGTGAAGATGCATACCAAGTCAGAGACACCGGTTAAGGACCTGCGCAACTGCAAGACCAATGCAACTGTGATTCCAGCTCCCCGAAAATTGGTGAAAAGAATGATGTTCGATACCATGGTCGATTTTCTCGCTCGTTTGTTTTCCTTTCCATCTCTAAAGGAAAACAAGGTCCGTGACATGGTCCACAGTTGAATTAGTTGGTAAAATGCATCGAATTATGTTCCGGATGGCCCAAGTACTAAAGTGGCCCAACTATCCAGGCCCAATACCGGGCGTGACCCCGCGTCAGCCCTAAGGGCTGACATGGACCTCCTCAACCCCCAACATAGCAGCAGGTCCAAGTCACACACCAAAATGTCCCATCTTGGAACGCTAACCATTGAAGGCGACTACGACAGACACCGCAAAGGGAAACTCCCCCTTTGCCTGGTGCTGACACCGCCAGAATACAGAGGGCGCAGCACTGCCACAATGACAGCGCCAGCACGCCTAACACTGCATCATGGGAGTAAATCCCAAGGAGAGTTGACCTCCCCCTCACCAACCCACACCATTTTCCCTATAAATAGCCCCCATGGGCACACCTTACAGGTATCTTATGTATCGTTATACTGTCCATTTACTTGAGTCATGTAACGCCTGGCAACATGCAAGGATTAACGACTGTCCCCACACACTAACACGAGACTTTTCAGCGTGCTTTGTCCTCACTCGCACACTTCTCGGGAAAACTTCCCACGAGGTCACCCATCCCAGAATTGCCCCAAGTCAAGCACGCTTCACTATGGAGTTCTTCCGATCCGGGCTACCGAAAAGTAGATGCATCTTGTTAGTATAGGTAGTACCAATTAATTCTTATAAGCCATTCCCAATTGTACCGTCCCATACCAGCACAGTCTCTGGAATCTCTCTCTTTCGGGTGTTGATTCGATTCATTCATGTACCCCCGTCCCTAGAAGCCTGCCAGGAGCCGCTCCTTGTCCATGCCCTTTCGCACCGGCGATCACTCCCCGCCCTCGTCAGCGCTCGGGATGTTACATGCCCACCAGCTTCCGTCTGGTTCGTCCTCGAACCACACCGTACTGGAAGAGAGGCCCGGCTCTAATACCACTTGTAACGCCTAGCAACATGCAAGGATTAACGACTGTCCCCACACACTAACACGAGACTTTTCAGCGTGCTTTGTCCTCACTCGCACACTTCTCGGGAAAACTTCCCAGGAGGTCACCCATCCCAGAATTGCCCCAAGTCAAGCACGCTTAACTATGGAGTTCTTCCGATCCGGGCTACCGAAAAGTAGATGCATCTTGTTAGTATAGGTAGTACCAATTAATTCTTATAAGCCATTCCCAACTGTACCGTCCCATACCAGCACAGTCTCTGGAATCCCTCTCTTTTCGGGTGTTGATTCGATTCATTCATGTACCCCCGTCCCTAGAAGCCTGCCAGGAGCCGCTCCTTGTCCATGCCATTTCGCACCGGTGATCACTCCCCGCCCTCGTCAGCGCCCGAGATGTTACAAGTCATATCATCCATTTGCTTATTATCTATTCACTGCTTACGCTTGGCTTTATACTTCTTAGCCTGGTCTGTATCAGCGCTAAGGGTATTATCCATACATTGACTCATCCCCTTCGGGAACATAGTGGGCTTATAGATCTCATCGGTACATTGGCGCCGTTTGTGGGAATCTATAAACTTCTATTCCCATTCTCCTACCAAAGATCCACAAGACGTGTTTTACATTTTGGTAACAAACATGGTTGTCACAACCAGAAGAGCGGAACAAACCAGGGTCGTTACTCCTGACGGTCATGTACAAACAATACGTTCAAATTCCCCGCCATCAATGCATTCAGCCACAGCCGAGAGATCCCCCGGCGAGATACTCCAACCAGTATTACAATTCGTCGGTCCACAAATGCAAGCAGTCGAACCCAGAGTAGCACAGTTGAACTATCGCGCACCTATGCGTGAAATGCAAGGGGAAAACTTGGTACAAGACCAACCCCCGCCCCCAGGAGTTCGTTTTGGAATGCCTTTCCACACTACTGCCCCACCAGTCATTCCCGTCCCACGAGCCCATCGTCCACTACCAGCCCAAAGTCTACCAGTAGCCATGCACAACGATTACCGAGCGCCCATGGTCACCCTGTTCCCTATGGGACCATACGCCCCTTTCCCTCAACATTACCTAACTGGTTTTCCTTTCCATGGTTACGCTGCCCAACCCCAGAATCCGGCCATCCCGCTGCACCAAGTGTCCTATCAAAACCAGGGTCAACTACCGTATGTCGCCCATCAGCCTTTCAATCACGCCCCGACCCTCTCCTACTCTGTTGAAGCCCCTCAACCACAAACAGACCGGCCCGCCCGAAACAACAATATACGAGTCACACCAGCTCATACGTCGGGGCGCATCAAACCCCTGACTGATATCCTCCGTTTAACTCCCATACCCCTTGGTTTTAAAGGACCCTCCAATATCGCCACATATGTCGGAGATGCTGATCCTTTTGAATGGATCCAGAAATTTGAGGCAGCAATGACTCTCCATGGTGAAACAGACCTCCTCATGTGCAGGACTTTCCCCACGCTACTTGGGGGGGCGAGCTCTAACATGGTACACCACCCTACTGACTAGTAGTATCGCTTCATGGGACGAGTTGGCGAACAAGTTTCAGTCTCACTTTGCAACCAGTCGCCCTGTGCCAAAATCTGTCCACTCTCTAGAAAAAATACGCCAACAGCCCGACGAGTCCCTCAGATCCTTTTTAGACCGCTTTGATAAGGAGGCCCTGCAGGTCCAAGGCCTAGACCCAAAAGTACAGGTACATATACTTCTTTCGGGCTTGCAACAGGGTGCGTTCGCGTACGAGCTCGCCCGCCATGAAATCACTGACCTGGAAGAAGTCAAGAAGGTGGCCCAGGAGTACATGCGAATCGAAGAGTACAAAGGAAGCCGAGTTGATGACGCCCACAGTCAAGAAAAGGCGGTCAGTAAACAGAAGAACCAAATGGAAGAAAGTAAGAAAAGAAACAAACCAGCCAAATATTCAAAACGCCCTTCTGGGCGCGACACATGAGGTCGCCAGACACACGTCGTCCTACAAACGAAATATAAGGAAAAATCCAAGAGCACCCAGCAGCCTCAGAACCCGCCTAAAGAAAACATCATGTACTGCAAGTTCCATCGCAGCAACGGTCATAACACTGAGCAGTGCAGGCACCTCAAAGACGAAATTGATTAACTCATCAAAAGTGGAGCGCAGAGGCGAGGAGGAGACGGCCCACTCCCTTCTGGAACAGGAAGGCGATATCGTGAGCGCAACAAATCGCCTGAAAGAAGAAGAACGAATCAATCTGGCTCCAGACCCTTCTACAACCGTGACAGGAGAGAAGATTCCCCCAGGAATCGCAGAGCGCAAGCAAGCCCAAACCGCAGAGGGAGGCGTGAATAAGTGGAAGAAGACTCAGCCACGGTAAAGCACAGAGTGATAAACATGATTTCAGGCGGACTGAGCGGAGGAGGAGAAACGGTGAACGCCAGAAAGAAACACTGGAAGCAGTGTCTGGCGGTTGCTGGCAGAGTCATTAGCAGAGTAAAGAACAACCCTGGTCCAACCAGGCCTCAAATTGTTTGGGACAACAGCGAGTTGGGCGATGTCCTCCCAGGACATGACAATCCACTCGTCATTCAATCAATAATCGCCAACTTCGGCGTTAATCGCGTTTTTATTGACCACGGCAGCTCAGCCGACATTTTGTTTTTACCATGCTTTAAAGCATTAGGGTTTACTGTTAATAATTTAACTCCTGTTACAGGTGAACTCTCAGGTTTCAATGCTACCACTACCAAGCCACTGAGAGTGATTACATTGCGGCTTTCCCTTGGAACGTCGCCCACCTCACGATCCGCAGACATCCAGTTTTTGGTGCTCGACACCCCATCAGCTTACAACGCCATTCTAGGTAGAAGGATGTTCGCTGCCTTCGAGGCAAGCATCTCACACCCCCCACTTGGCAATGAAGTTCGTTGCCCGGGATAACAAAGTCGCCACGGTGCGGGGAGATCAGACTATAGCCCAAAGCTGCTACAACATATCCTTGAGGCCAATGGCCAAAGCTAGTTTCAATGATGAAAGGGCGCCCAAACAGAGGGTGACCTCGCCAACCGAAAGAAATCCAGGCGAGGAGACAAAGGAGCGTGACCAATGTTTTTTGGTAGAATTTGATGCCAGAGATGATCCGCGCGTGGAACATGACAAACCCACGCCTGATGGGGCGTTGGAACATGTTGTATTAGGCGATGCGGATCATCAAACGACAACCATCGGGGCCACCATCGACCCCGAAATGAACTGCAAGTTAATCAAGTTGCTCAAAATAACAAAGATTTGTTCGCATGGAAACCTTCTGACATGCCGGGTATCAATCCAGACGTTTGCTGCCACCGTTTGTCGGTGGATCCCAAAGCCAAGCCAGTCGCCCAGAAAAAGAGGAAATTCGGTCTCGACCGCCAGAGGGTGATTGAAGAAGAAGTCAAAAGGCTCCACGCCGCCGGGTTCATCAGGGAAATCAAGTACACAACTTGGTTATCCAACCCAGTATTGGTTATCCAACACAACTTGGAAATCAAGCACACATCAGGGAAGTCAAACGGCGCATGGAGAATGTGCGTTGACTACACCGACCTAAACAAAGTCTGTCCAAAGGATGCTTACCCTTTTCCTAGCATTGATCAGTTGGTCGACAACGCGTCCGGATTCAAAATGCTGTCATTCATGGACGCATATTCTGGTTATAATCAGATTTCGCTTCTTGAAGAAGACCAAGACAAAACGGCGTTCATCACTCAGAACGCCAATTACTGTTATACAATGATGCCCTTCGGTCTAAAGAATGCTGGGGCCACTTACCAAAGGATGATGAATGAAGTACTCAGAGACCTGATTGGCAATTGCATCAAAGTATACATCGATGATATGATCGCTAAATCAAGAACGCCGGAACAACATTTGATTGACCTACAAGGTGTATTTGAAAGACTCAGAAAATTCAACATGCGCCTGAATCCCAGCAAATGCGCCTTCGAAGTTCCGACAGGCAAATTCCTAGGCTTTATGCTCACTGAGCAAGGCATTGAGGTCAATCCTGACAAATGAAAAGCGGTGATTGAAATGCGAAGCCCGCAAACAATCAAGGAAGTTCAGCAACTGACAGGAAGGTTAGTAGCTCTCACTCATTTTTTGGCCAATTCGGCTGACAAATCGCTCCCTCTTTTTAGCCTACTCAAAAAAGGAACCGTCTTTCGGCGGTCAGAAGAATGTGGGAACGCCTTCCAAGAATTCAAAAGGGCGCTCTCTTGCCCACCGGTACTTGCCAAACCAGACGATGGAGAAATGCTGTATTTGTATCTTGCCGTAGGTACCGAGGCGATCAGTGCAGCCCTTGTCAAAGAATCAAAGGAAGGACAAAAGCCTGTCTATTTCATTAGCAAGGTTCTACAAGGAGCAGAGCTTCGATACCAACAGGTGGAAAAGGTAGCTTTAACGCTTATCTTTGCCGCGCGGCGACTAAGACCGTACTTCCAGCGCCACCCAATCACCATCAGGACCAACCAACCAATTCGCCAAGTCCTGCACAAACCTGACTTGGCTGGAAGGATGATGTCGTGGGCGATCGAGCTGTCCGAGTATCAAATCACCTATGAGCCTAGAACCGCCATCAAAGCTCAAGCACTCACTGACTTCATTGCAGAAATAACACAACTTTCCCCGCCCAAGAACCAAGCCACGGTAACGCCGTTATCAGAAGTGTGGAAACTATACGTAGATGGCTCGTCAAATGCCAAAGGCTCTAGTGCAGGGATGATAATAGAAAATCCGGATGGCGTGGCTATCGAATATTCTTTGTCATTTGATTTCAACACCACAAATAACCAGGCATAATATGAGGCCATGATAGCCGGTCTGATCCAAGCAAAGGAAATGGGGGCCCAACGCCTCAAAGCCTTTAGTGACTCCCAGCTGGTGACATTTCAGATCTCCGGCGAGTACCAAGCCAAAGGACCACTGATGTGCAAATACTTACTACAATAAGAAGGTCATTCCCCGGAGTTTTCAAGAAAAAGATTTGGTGCTTCGAAGAGCAGACGTTGGAAACAAAAACGCTCGCGAAGGAAAGCTCGCCCAAACATGGGAAGGACCTTACAGGGTAATCAACAAGCTAGGTCATGGAGCGTACTCCCTGGAAACGCTAGAAGGAAAGGCGCTACCGAGGGCTTGGAACGCCGATAAGCTCAAAAAGTATTATAGTTAAGTTATCATATAACAACTCCTGCACTCTTTTCCTTTCCTAGGCTTTTATCCCATAGAGTTTTGCTGGGAAAGGTTTTTAACGAGGCAGAGTTTTGAGCTTTCAATAAAAAGATCGCCAGTTCAATTTAACACTGTAAAAAAATGTGACCAACTAAGGGACGGTTCTCACCCCCACCATAGTTGGATTGGGATGGTTCTCACCCCCAGCCAACACCTAACTACGGGACGGTTCTCACCCCCGCCAAAGTTGGACTGGGATGGTTCTCACCCCCAGCCAACGCCTAACTACGGGACGGTTCTCACCCCCGCCACAGTTGGACTGGGATGGTTCTCACCTCCAGCCAACGCCTAACTACGGGACGGTTCTCACCCCCGCCATCGTTGGACTGGGATGGTTCTCACCCCCAGCCAACGCCCAACTACGGGACGGTTCTCACCCCCGCCATAGTTGATCTGGGATGGTTCTAACCCCCAGCCAACGCCCAACTACGGGACGGTTCTCACCCCCGCCATAGTTGATCTGGGATGGTTCTCACCCCCAGCCAACGCCCAACTACGGGACGGTTCTCACCCCTGCCATAGTTGATCTGGGATGGTTCTCACCCCCAGCCAACGCCCAACTACGGGACGGTTCTCACCCCCGCCATAGTTGATCTGGGACGGTTCTCACCCCCAGCCAACGCCCAACTACGGGACGGTTATCACCCCCGCCATAGGTGATCTGGGATGGTTCTCACCCCCAGCCAACGCCCAACTACGGGACGGTTCTCACCCCCGCAATAGTTGGTCTGTGATGGATCTCACCCCCAGCTAGCGCCCAACTACGGGATGGTTGTCACCCCCGCCATAGTTGGACTGGTATGGTTCTCATCCACGGTCAACGACCACCAGACTAAATAAACATCCATATGCAAGTGTAGAATATAAAGCAAGAAACGAAAGGAAATTCATTAGATGCGTGATCGAAACAAAAGAAGGAAAGGGTTACAAAGCCGTGGTTGACATGCCAACCACAAGCTTAAAGTGAAGAAAAGCTAAGAACTCAAGTTTGTATTAACAGCAACCGTCTCGGCATCTAATGTGTGATCACTCCCGCTATCCACAGCGGCGTACGCATCCTCCTCTTGTTCTGACACAACCGTGTTGATGACTCCACCTCCACTAGCCACCCCAGAGTCAACCAAGGTCCCAGTAACAGTTTTCGTTTGCACGCCACGTCCAGCATCATCACTATCGTGATCATCATCACTGTCAGCATCTGTGGGTGGAAGAACCCCCCTGGCACCTTCGTCATCATCAGTTTCAGGCGCCGCTTCAACCACTCTAATGGCGCCACCGTCAAGGCGTTGTATAATCTTGTCATCCTCCACCTCATAGTCGGGAGTGAGCCCAGTCAAGTCAGCCCCAGGATATCTGACAGCGACCTGCCGCAGGGCGTTGTTAAAAGAATGATACATCAGGTTAGCCAGAGCCTCCTCCAACTTCTCCACCTCCCCCTTGACTTTGTTGAAATCCTCATCTTTGGCATGAAGACTCCCTTGCATAGCAAACAAATCGGCAGATAGTTGATCCTTCTCATTCTGAGGGGCTTCCTTCTCGCTCTTGATGATGTCCAATGCCTTACGTAGATCGTCTCTCTCATCAGAAAACTGCTTGGCGTCTCCTTTCGCTTTCTTTAGCCGCTTCGACAACGACTGGATGGAAGTTTTCTTGTCAGCGACATCCTTACCAAGACGCCCCACCTCAGCAGTAAGGCCCTCCACCTG